AAGACAAAGTCTCTCCATTAGGCACTCCCTAAATTTCTGGGCCTTCCCACAGCAGGCTTCTCTTGAGAGATGCAGCCTAAGATGCTGCTCTGGGGGCTCACTGCATGAAACAGGCCAAGTCAGTGAGTCACCCAAGCAGTGCCAGCTTTGCTCCTTTGCAGGACTTGTCCTGTCCCACACCAACAGTCACTCACTTGTGCCATTTCCTTTGCCCACATTGTCCACGTTGGCAGCAACATCATGCAGTAAACGCCAGCTGTAATTCATGGCACCAAAATACAGTTATTTATTAGGATTTCTAAAGGCCATATTGTCTCCTCTCACACCAGGACGGCAACAGATTAGCTGAGGACACGGGGACCTGGTGCCGAGAAAGGATGTGGCTCCAGCCAGGAGCCCTTACCCCAGGCCTTGGGGGAATACAACCATCATCTCCAGACATGCTTGGTGCCCCACGGCTCTTCTCCATTTCCCCTTACTGCACCTATGATGACCTAAACCTGGTTCCATGGGCCTTCACTTCACAGCCTCCCCTCCACAGTTGGAAGGTCTTTTCTCTCACTCTGTCACTGTCTGCCTGGCAGGGACACCACCAGCCTTTTGATTTAGACAGCCTCAGGAAACACTTGGGCCATGGGAGTTTCTACAGAGTCCTCCCGAAAGGGCAAACTGTAAAAAGGTGGGACCTCTGTCCAAAGGAGTCCTTCTTGGTTCACTTCCTAACAATGCGTGCATTAATAGCTGTTTTTAGGCAGGGTGGGCTCCACTTGCACAGAGTATCCTGAGAGTTGTCATCTAGCCCATCAGTGCTACCAGTGACATGTGTCTACTCCTGAGAACTCACCAAGAGTGACGGGGATCAACAACAGGAGAATTTTCAAGAGCCTCCTCCTGCGCAGGGCAATCTCTTGCCTGAAAAAGAGGGAGCCTCGTTAGGAATGCTGCAAGTCTGGGGCAAATGCCTTCCCAAGTGGGCTTTCCTGTTCCCAGGCTGCAGGGAAACAAATTTGCAAGTCTGTTGCCGCTGGCAGAAAGCTGATAGACCAACTCCCAAAAGGCATGTGGTCTGTCAGCGCTGTTCCTCATGACAGACAGATATTTCTGGTTAAAAAAAAAAGTGTTCCAAGAGCACCTTTGGAGAAAGAGTTTCCATAATCCAAGGAAATAAACAGATTTTGCAAGGGAAATCAGCTTACTGGCTATCTTAGTGGTGTGTTTGCTTTCTCTTTTGCTAAGAGGGTGTTTTTCTGCACAATGGGAAGAGCAGGAGGTGTGGCTGCCCACACACATCTGTGAGGTGTTGTGCTCCAAAACGCAAACCACGGCGAAGAAAGCAGCCTCATACCGATTCTCCAGGCACTTGGTGGGCCCCGTGACTTCCTCCGGCAGGTCACTGGCAGCACTGCTGCCAGAGGCGGCTAGCAGAGCTTCTTGCCCTTTTCTGCGAGGAGCTCCTCCCCTCGCCATTCGTGAGGGAGATGAAGGTCTCAGCTCAGCTCGTCCCTGTCAGGCCAAAGAATTTGGCCAGCATACAGCAGGGCGCTGAGGCAGTCCTCGGGAACAGAGAGCCTCAAGGCTGCCGCATGCTCCTTCCGTGTGCTGAGGGGCGACGGGCCCTGACCTCGCAGCAGGCCCCGCTGTCGGGCATGGTGGTGGCTGTGAGGTCACACTGGGGCTACGCATGGGGCCAGACTCCATGTCAGGCTCTCCTTGGGCAGCACATTTAGCCACAGAAATGTGTTTATTCCTTGCTTTATAGAGCCCTGGAGGTTTCCTGTGTGGGGGGATGAGAGGCAGGGTCCCAGCCAGGTGGCATAGAGGGTACAGATTTTCCAGCTGTGGGGTGCCCTGTGGGGCAACATGGGGGCTGCTGGTGCAGGTACAAGCCCATGCTGGATCTGTGGGGCTCCAGCCCTGCTGGGGTGGCAGCAGCAGGGAGCAGAGCCTCCCGGGCCTGCTCTTTCTTGGTAGGCACCCTCAGTCAACTCTTGCTTGAATTTCCCACAGACATTGGGCATGGACTTGTTGACTATCGTTCACCTCCTACAATATTGTGTTGTCTCTTCCCCTGCCACATTCATACTAGGGAGAATGGTCTTCAATTGCTTGATTTCAGTTTCTCAAATTACCACTGCCCAGTGGGCCCAGTATTCTAGCGTCAATGTCTTAGAAATGTGCTCCCATGGCATGAGCTTATGTAATCACAGGGTTGATAAGCACTGCTAACTTGTGGTGTGCTCTGAAATTTCAGTCATGCCCTTTCAAATCATTCATTGGAGTCTTTTAGAAGTTATTACTTGTTATTCTGGGAAGGGACACAATGTACCTACAGCAGAATCCCATGAAATCCAGGCACTCTCTGAGACAATTACTCAGTTTTTTTGGAGACACTTTTTGACAGTTGTAATGAGACCATCTGAGGCTTTGAACTCAAAAACATTTGACGAAAGCTGTCCCCTGAGTCTTAAAAGAAATAAATAATGCTGTGATGCTTTTCATAGACAAATTCCCACTGTCTGTGAAGAACTATCAACCTTTCAGGTACCTTCCGAGCCTCCAGGTAACAGGAATAAGTCCTGTAGTCCTTTGTGTGTGAAGACTAGAAAGGAACAAGCTCTGTGTAGTTTAGGTGAAAGACAAGGAAGTGAAGGATATGTAAGAACATTGCAAAGTGTGCTATGACTACTTGTTTTTTCTGTAGTGGCTGATTCCAGTTGAAAAAAATGGCACTTTGTGAATGGTAAAGTAAATGAGTAGTAAGGGAAAGGAGACAGAGTATTTGATGGAATCCAAGCAATTCCAGTTTTTCATTTTTCTTTGTAGTTGAAGCAGTTAAGGCACTGATATATACTGTGCAACCTTCAGTAGCTAGCTTAAAACAACTAACCTTCAGGATGAATGTGTATTATGATTGTGTTGGCTGTAATTTAGCAGCTTTTAGAGCATAATTTTTCTAGGGAGAAAATACATATTGATTTTTGGTACGTCATCACATTTATAATGTTTGGAAGATAATCTTTACTTCCTCTACTAAAAAAAAAAAAGAGAACAAACATGCTAGTGACTATGAGCTTCTCATCTCTTAATGTGATGAAAACTACAGAAAAATGGAAACAAAGCCCATAGTGAAGATCACAGTGATGTCAAAGGGAAATTTTGCTTTTTGATTTTTTTTTTCCTTCAAATGAATACACGACTGTATAAAGATGTGCAAAGTTTCAAAAATGTTTGAATGGCAGATGTAGTTAAGAGATACGAATCTGAAAGTTCCCCATCTCTGTGTGGCCTGATGTTTGTGGAACAATTTATCAGCCTGCCAAGATACTTTGGCATTTTTGAATCGAACAGTGTTTCCCTGGAAATCTCCCTTACTACCTGCAGAATATGGGATAAAAAAAACGCTAATAATAAACCAACAAGCGAGCAAGCCAGCACCTTAAGTTAACTGAACTCACTGAAATTGCATTGTTTACTTCTTGAGGATGGCTTGGGAGAACTGGACCACAGTGACAGAATTCATTTTAAAGGGATTAACGGATCACCCACCCACCCAAGGCGTTCTGTTGGTAATTTTCCTAGTCATCTATGTGATCACATTGATGGGTAATCTTGTTATCATTATACTAGTTCGGCTTGATTCTCGCCTTCAAACCCCTATGTACTTTTTTCTCAGTAATTTGTCCTTCTTTGATATGTGTTGCTCCACAGCTGTCACACCTAAAATGCTGGTGAATTACTCATCAGAAAGGAAAGCTATTTCTTTTGCTGGCTGCCTCACGCAATTGTATTTTTACATTGCTTTTGCAACTATGGAGTGCTATCTTCTGGCTGTAATGGCATATGATCGGTACGTCGCCATCTGTAATCCACTGCGCTACACAGTCATCATGTCCAAAAAGGCCTGCATTATTATGTTGTCTGGGTCATATGTGGCTGGTGTTTTAAATTCATTGATACTCACGGGATCTGCATTGAAAATCTCCTTCTGTGGTCCTAACATCATTGATCATTTCTTCTGCGACGGGCCTCCGCTGATAAAACTGGCCTGCTCTGACACGCACTTCATTCTAGTGCTGGTATTTGTTTTGACAGGGTTCAATGAGGTCACCACTACATCAGTTGTCCTCATCTCCTATGGCTATATCCTAGCCACTGTTCTGAGGATACATTCTGCAAAGAGCAGGAGCAAAGCCTTCAATACCTGTGCCTCCCACCTGACAGTTGTCACCATCTTCTATGGGACTCTTCTTTTCATGTACTTGAGACCCAGCTCCAGCTACTCGTTGGGCAGGGACAAAATCGTTTCTGTTTTTTATGTGGTGGTGACCCCCATGCTGAACCCCCTCATCTACAGTCTGAGGAACAAGGAGGTGAAGGATGCTCTGAAAAGAGCACAGGAGAGAATAACAGCTTCGTGGCAAAATGACTAAGTAGTTTGAGATTACTGAGTTTGATTTGGAGATTACTGTCTAGTAATGAGAATGTGGTCTGTGTTTTGTTTCTACATCCTTTGCATTGTTGGCCATTTTATATTACGTCTGGTTCTATCAAAGTGGCATTGATTTTTTATACCTTTGTGTCAAGATAGTGCATTTCCTAACAGGGAAAATACATGTGTGTTGATTGAGGGACTACCAAAGACAGATTTGTGAGCAAACGTACTAAATATACAGTTTGCTGCTGAATATGTGCTAGGCAAACACATGTGCTAGGTTTTCTCATGGACCTACTATTTGTTAGGCAAGCCTCAGTCATCCATATTTTGAAGGAAAACGAGAAGACATGGCCCAACACCATAAAACAAAGGCCATTTGCAAGGGATTTAAACAAAAGCCATTTTCAAGGAATTTCTGCCAAGAATTCAGACCATTTTCTTCTAAATCTTCTTTGACCTGTATCTGCTCAGGGCCATTCTCTCCTTTCTCTTCACTGAATGTCATTGATCAGCTCTGTGGATTATTCCTTAATGAGTTTGGTATCCATTCCAGTCATGACAGGGACTCCACAAAATTAAAGGTAATTTCACAGCTGAAACAAAATATTTTTTCACAGCTGCTGAAACTGGCTGGAAAAATTATAGCGAAGGTGTTCTGATATGGGCTGACTGTAATACTGGTTTACTCAAAAGATGCCCAAGTATCTCTACTTCAGCCAGGGGGTGGGAGCAGATATGCTTTCAAAGTCTTTATGGTCCTTTCAGTGGGTTTAAGTCCCACAGAAAACTCGAGGGCAACAGGGCTGAGTTTATTAACAAGGAATGCGTGCTATAGATGGGAGCGTACAGGCAAACACACGAAGCAAAGCAAGACATTTCTAACGAAAGAGAAGGAAATGTTTCCCTAAAGCTGCAGAGAAAAGAGAAATTCAAGAGAAACTTCTCCGTGAGTCCACGATCCATGAAAGGCTGTTTAAAAATATAGTTAAAGTTGCTATTTCCACTGCACTTTAATTCTTTGAATAAATATTTTAAATGAGTTTCTTTTTTTAAAAAAAAAAAAAGATTAAGTATTGGACAGTGACAATTCCTAAATGTGCTGCTTAGCATAATTTTTCAATGCATATTTTCACATTTGAGGATGGGCATTAAAAACATGATATATTAGTTGCAATAAAATTAAAATTTCTAATGGATTCTTCTTCATTTTTCTCATTAATTCCCTCAAAACATGTAATTATTTCTATCTGAAAGACAGCATTATTTAACTGACCAAGTTTAAAGTTTAAAAGCTAAATATCTAAATCTGATCCCTTTGTCTCCATAACAGGAGGAGACATGCATTATTCTTCTAATCTTAAAGCAGACTCAAGGCTTAGCTTTTTTGCATAAAGGCTGAGTTCTCAATTAGTATACACATGACCATTCTCTAAATGCTAAATATGTTGTCTTTCCTTATCAATCATTCCTTATTTTGTATGAAGCAAAAGAAGAGTATATTTTATGCAACAGTAGGATGTGTATTTCATGCTTTCAAGAAGTAGGGAGCATTTTGAGTGACTTTGTCTAGGGGAGGAGAATAAAAATGTTGAATCTACAGTGGTGCAGGTAAGACAATGGGAACAAAGATTCAAAATAATGGTGACGCTATTGTCACCTACAAAATTCCAGGAAGGAATTCAGGCATATCCCATAGAAACCACTCAGTTACAACTTTGTTTTGCAGTACCACCCACTGCTCAACAAAAACATCAATATCTAGGTCAGCATGGCTATTCACACAAAAAATATACACATACATTTACAAACATATATATATGTATATATACATATATATGTATACATATGCATCAGTATTTGGGGTCACTGATTTACGTAAGTTTTTAGGAGTGTGGTCATGGGAAGACCTAGAGCTCTTCTCTACTGGCCTTTTTGAAGGAAAAGGAGGGAGGGTAGGGGAGGTTGTTTGCCTCATCTACCACGAGGCCTGTGTTTGGGCTCTGAGGCTTTGAGCAATGGTCAGTTGTTCAGCAGATAGACTTTTCAACTCCCATTATAGACAAGGGAGATCTGGCAAGGCAGTGACCGGGGGTTTGGTGATCCATCTAACCAAGTACAGGCTTATACACTAGGTGAGTTGATTAGCTCTCTAGCCATCACTGACTGAGCTAATTCTGGTCTCTAGTGCCATTGCAGATTCTTGAGGGGATGCCACCTAGTCTCCAGCTCCTCTTGCAGTAAGTCATGGGTTTCCCATAAGTCCCATGCCATTTCCATCAGGCATATGCCTAGATTTGGGAAATGGAATCACAACCTTGAACTGCATGACGTAGAAGAGAAGTCCGGACAGCTGTGGCTCACATGTATGTCCCTACCGTATGGATACATGAAGCCAAGTTGATAACACCTGCTGACTTCTCAGGCAATTCTCTGGATTCTCAGTAATAGAGCTAGAACATGGAGTTTGCGTACCCAAGCGTGGGTGTCTCCTTTGAATGTAGTAAATCACTCTCTGAGCTCCGCTGAATGTACTGACATTTGAGTTGTCATAGGACATTCATTTAAGGCTGGAAGACACAAGGCCTAAGAAGACTCATGCCCTTTTGGGCCAGTAGCTAACGAACAGGAGATGTACAAAGGCTCTCAAATATTCCTAGACGCCTATGTCCAAACAGCTGAACCAAGAGCTACATTTCTACTCGACAGTTAAGAAAGTCCAGACAGTTGTCTTATGAGTACACACTGTTGACAACTGGCATATGAGAAAAATCCTACCTATGGACATAGTGAGTCCAAATATGAATCTCTATTTGTATGGTGAATCTACTCCTCTTTTCAGCTGAATCAGAAAACATTGAGTTCTGTTATTTGAAGGGAAAATGGTTTAAGTTTTCAGTTCCTAAAGATGATTCAGGCACTGATAGAAATTCTTATTTGTTGAGAGGGCTGAACAGAGGTAAATTCACTGAAATTATCACAAATACGCTATCAACATTCCTAAGCAGGCTCTTTTTGCAGAATGACTTGAATTCACACCATTTCTTTTCAGCTTAGATATTCCTAGGAATCTCTGGAGCATAGGGAAAAAAAAGTTTGATGGAATTGCCCTCAATCATATTCCAACAGCTAGAATGAGCTAGAGAGTTCATTGTTCTACTTATAGTTATCAGTAGAATGAAAGCACTTAAGGCTCATTCATTGTCTGGTATGTTGGGTCAATATCCGTCTGCTGTAATTCCAGCCATTTGTGTTAGGTGTCTAGCTGATTATTACAGCCTAAGCTGCTTATAATATGTGTTGAAGATATGTGGAGTCCAATGACCTGCAGATTCACCTTCCCATGTCTGCGTTCATCTCCAAGAGGAACTTGTGGAAACGAACTGACTGTATTTTGAATCGCTGCATTTTCTCACTCTCAAGGTGTGCAATGATATAAACAGGTTATCAATATCTGTGATAATAATTTTGCTGTGGGACAGGAATTAACAAAGAAGTTGGTGTGATCCTGCATACATCACTAAGCCTTTAATAGTAGTTTAAAGTGTTATTAGCTCATATAGATTGCCACCCAAGAGCCAGAAGAACACAATCAAAATTCACTTCTCATAGAAAACTGAAATGAAAGCAAAGACATGAGAAACACTTGTTTGGTATAACATCATTCCCCCAACCAGGAGGCCTGTTGCCCACAAAGACCTGTGGACTTACCCCTATAAAGAAAACAAGTTGTTGTCAGTGAAGAGCCTCACCTGATGAAAACATGCATTAGGCTCTAGAGATCACAGGAAAGATTACTGGTTATTGGAAACCTGCGAGGATGGCTTCAAGGGCTACTCCTCCAGGATTAATGAGTCTGTAGTTTTATGGAAAATGGGAGGGAGAGACTTTACAGACAGTAAGGCAAGGTAACCTTCATCAACAGGTAGGTGTGACTGTTCCCTGAAACTCATAAGAGTGAACTCTGCTGGGACTCTTCTCATCTGGTCTAAATCACTGCAGCAGTCTTATTTTCAGCAAGGCTGCTCTCATTTACACCAGCTACAGATTTGCTCCTCTGTGTTGGTTAAAAAAAGATGAAATCCTTCTTCCAGACTTGGGATGCACTCCAGTACTGTGAATGTGAAACTCCTCATGGATCAGGAATCATGGGGTTTATAGTATGTTTAGTGAGATTGACAAGAAAAGGAGAGGAGAAAATTCAGAAAGAAAAAAGATTAAGTGCACCACCACTGGCAATTTAAAATAGAGTGCATACACCTATTTGATAGAGAATAGTTCTGCAGTGATTCTTCTGATTATAGCAGTCATCTGATGAGGTAAGACTTCAATTCTAATATTAAATCCATTAAGCACTGAATTGTTTTCTACTACTTCTTGTTACCAGGAACCCATGTTTCACACTTCCCCCAGAGTGTGGCCTGGGGGAAGTGGGCCTGTGGCCTAACTAGGTGCTTAGCTCCCAGGCGATTGGAATTAGACTCAGCACGACTTTGGCCTCACCTGTGGTTTTGACTCCTATTTCAGTTAAAGTGAGAGAAAGGAACTACTGCAGGGAGGTGAGTTTTGCCTAGTGAGGAACGGGATGGGAGAAGCCCTTGGGAATGTCTTGGCCATCAGGATATTGTGCCATGCCACTGCAGAGCTTTCTCTGGCCCATGAAAGCTTCCACAGGACTGATTTAGAAGATCGCCTCTTAAGAACAGTGACTCTGCAGGGACAAGTCGGCAGTTTTGTCTGGACTATTTCCCTCCCTTAAGGCTCTAACTACCATCCCCTCACAGTGCTGCCTCTCAGTGCATCCCCAGCTCTGCATGGGGCTGAAGCTGTATCTTGTTTTCCTCCATAGACTAGGTGTAATTCACACTTGGAAACTGCTATCCCAGCACACTGAGGAAAGCACAAGGTGCCACTTGATGTTCTACTAGAAACTAATGGGCAGTGATAACACTGTGGATTCCACTTTTGCTTTGGTTATTTAGTACAACTCAGGGAGTTCTTACTCATACACACAACTACCCCTAGCAGCATTAAAATAGGTCACTTCTGTAAATCAGATTTTGTATTTCAGTCCATTTCTGAAAATATAAGGCATGATCACGTACTGTGAATCCACATACTGTGCTACCTCTGTCACGTCCTGTTGAAAGCAGAGAAAAGGAAAGTGATGAGAAAGTACATAGTGGACTCTGCTGACATGCTGAATAGCTTGGAGCATTGACTGAAAGAGTTTAATCATTTATCAAACCAGGTAAACTCTCTTTTCCTTCATACAAAGAATAATGCATTGGTTCAGGATGTCACAGGAAAATCGAAGATAGATCTGGAGTGCTCAACTCTTAATTGCATGGCCTCTGCAATCATACTCAGACACTGAAAACCAAATAGATTGGCCACAACTTAAATAGTGCCTCAGAAAGATTAAATACAGGCTAAAAAGGTGGTTGGATAGAGAGATTCTTCTGTGATACAGGGAATGACAGAAGAAGGATAAAATGCACAAGGGCGAGACGAGCCATATGGAGAAGTTCGACACAGCCAGAGAGTCACAAGTGAAGGGGTAGAGAGAGGAACAAGGTAAAAACAAAGGCAGGGAAGCCTACAGGAATTAGATGGTTTGAGGGGCAAGAGGGCAGACAGAATAGTTGAAGAGAAAAGCTAGCAGCATGACAGATGAAGTTTGAAGCTCTCAGTGAGATGAGAAGTAGGAAGGTCAGAAGATCTGGAATATGCCTCAGTTCTCTGTGTATTGTCATGTTCTCTTTCTATTAATTTGCCTTCAGACCCAAGCTGCCCTCATGGTCTCCCTTTCAGGCCTTGTCTTCCTCTCCCCAAAGTTTCTGACACTCTAGTATTAATCCCTCGCTTTCTGAATGAGTCATGAGATAGTGTAATGTTCCCTCACTCTCTTTATCCTTCCTCCAGAATTCATAACTCTTTATCGTTACCTCAGGGTTGTTTCCAAAACTAATAAAGAAAAGCTACAGTGTTTTGACTCTTACTCTGAGGTATTACAGTACCAAGCTGTATTCTTCTGGGCACTGTGTCATTCCTCTTTGAAAAAGCAGAAGAGGAAACAGATGTGGAGAAAATCTTGATTGCAAGAGGTTAAGGACAGAGATGATAATTGAGTCTATGTCCAACCCCATTAAACTATAGGTACCAAAATGAGGTACTGAAATGGAAGTTTACCTACTGTAAACTCTACCCATAGTCAGGGAAGTGAGACATCTTCAGAAGTGAGACATTCTTCAGATGTGCAGAGATAAGTGTTTATGAAAGCTGGGATGCCTTCCATTCAAAAGATGCCTGTCTCCTTCCTTGAACTGTAAAGGAGACTAGCTAGATGGGTATCTTCTCAATGGCCAAAGTGCAGTCAGTCCCTTGCAAATACCCTAGAAATGAATGATTGATGGGCCCTATTGGTGGAAGATGTAAAAAAGCAAGTTATCCCATTTCAATTTAAAGAGAGAGGGGAGCGGAAAAGGCATGGTTTTCACTATATTAAGTTTTAATGCTCTCTTCCTCCTCAATAGACACGAGACACTGAATGGCAGAGAGGAATTACACGTTGGTGGCAGAGTTCATTCTCGAAGGCCTGAGTGACCACCCGAAGATGAAGGCAGTCCTCTTTGTGGTGTTTCTGATCATCTACATGATTACCCTTTTGGGCAACATGGGGATAATTGTAGTCATCCGAGGCGATCCCCGACTCCACACATCTATGTACTTTTTCCTCGGTAGCCTCTCTGTTGTTGATATCTGTTTCTCTTCTGTCATTGCTCCCAAGACTTTGGTGAACTTCCTGTCAGAGACGAAAACCATTTCCTTTGTTGGCTGTACAGGGCAAGCCTTCTTTTATATTGTCTTTGTGACAACTGAATGCTTTCTCTTAGCTGTAATGGCCTATGACCGATATGTGGCCATCTGTAGCCCTCTTCTCTATTCAGTTGTTATGACTAGGAGGCGGTGTATACAGCTGGTGGTTGGATCATACCTAGGGGGTATCATAAACTCTGTCATACAGATGATCTTCATCATCAGACTGCCTTTCTGCAACTCCAATGTTATCAACCACTTCTTCTGTGATGTCCCTCCCCTCCTTGCTCTGTCCTGTACCAACACCTACATCAATGAGATGATCCTCTTCTCCTTAGCTGGTGTTATTGAGCTCAGCACTGTCTCCACCATCCTGGTCTCCTATATTTTCATCTCCTTTGCCATCCTGAGGATCCGTTCAGCTGATGGCAGGCAAAAAGCCTTCTCCACCTGTGCTTCCCACCTGACGGCTGTGAGCATGTTATATGGGACAACGATCTTCATGTATTTGCGTCCCAGCTCTAGTTACTCTCTGAACAGTGACAAAGTGGTCTCTGTTTTCTACACAGTGGTGATCCCCATGTTGAACCCCCTCATCTACAGCTTGAGGAACAAGGAAGTGAAGGATGCTCTGAGGAGAACAGCAGAAAGAATTGTAGCTGTACATTGAACAGAATAAACACGGTAGTGCAGGCACTGAAAAATTGCATGTGCACTGAATATAGCTCCACAAAATGGGACTTAATTCATCTAACTCTAGACTACCTCAGATGCCTACATCTCCATTTAAGATAACCAACTTAAGTTCTCTATGTAGATGCTGGGGAGAAGCTCACCTTCAAGATACCTGCATTACTTCAGACGTTCACTTCAGGGTATAAAAGCCTGTGAAAGGGCCTCTTGATAAATCACCCATTAGAGTTAGTCTCATATAGCAGCTGACCGCTACACTACAGGCATGCTCTCTTCATTAAGACTTAAGAGAGGAATGTACATAATTAGGAATAACTGGGAATTTTTCTCTCAGAGGCTGTGGAATCTCTATCCTTGGAGATAATCACAGCTTAATGGGACAAGGCCTTGAAAAACCTGATTTTGCAAGGAAATCATCCCTGTTGTGAGCAGACGATTGGACCAGAGACTTCCAGAAGTCCTTTTCTACCAGGATAATTCTAGGATTCTATGAATAGCATTATATATTTAATGTAAAATACAACTTTATAAATACATGTTGATATACATCATGAAAGATATTATTATGGGTTATCTCTGTGTAGATACACACTTCTACTGGGTTCTTCACCATACTCAAATCTCAGATTAGCTTTAATAAAAAGCCATGGCCATCAGCTCAGTATTTTGAAGGATATGAGGCATTCCATTTTTGATTTTAGTAGATAGATGTCTCTATCAGAGAAAATGCCAAATACTTTCTCAGAATGTTGCAAGCTACTGCCTGTGTGTGCTACAAGTCTTCTTGCTGAGTTTAGCACAGCACAGTGAGTTGGCATTTCTTCTTCTCCCAAGTTCTGCTGGGATTCTTACTGTGACCATATGAATACAAGAACATGCACTAAGACATAGAAATATGCCCGCTGGTGTTTGCCTCCTCACAGTTCTTCTTTACAAACTCCATCTATAAATGAGCATTTGTGCTGTCAAATGGAAAATGGAGAAGCAGAAATGCTCATCGCTTAACTCATCTGTGTGTCATCAGCTATACGATTTGTTGTGCAAATCCACAGCAATATCCACATGATTGGTGGGTGATCAATGGGTGATGGCTCTTGTCCTTGGGACTAACCGAGAGGTTGACATTTTTGTGGTACACAGGTAAAAACAGCTCCAAAGTGTTTCAGATGCTCTGGACAAGCCCCTTAGCTAACCCAAACGCTGCATTTAACATTTAGGGTTTCCATGATTACGGGCTGGCACCTGAGATCCAGCTTCTGTGGAGCTTTTCCTAGGTAAACACAAGATCTAAGTGGATAAACTGTGAAGCTGTCATTTGGTGATAAGGTGATAGGTATTATAAACCTAATAAAGATGAAAATCAAAATGTTTGAATAAGGCTAGCTTATCAACCAGATATCAACCACACTGCTGATTTGCGAGACCTTTGCAGAGTTAAATTGATCTTTCCTTGTTAGTGCCTTTAAGGCCCCTTCACCATACATTGCTCTTCATTTTTTTTCTTTCACAATTTCTGCTATTAAAAGTTTTGAAACAATGCCTAATTGGCTTTCTAATTTGCCCCTGGTGGTTTGTTAAAGACAAAAGAAAAAGTAAACACATTATCAGTGCAAGCAGCATCCAGAGAATAAGCACTTAGGCATTAAGCAGTGGGGAAGGGGAATTTGAAGAAAGAAAAAAACAATGAAAACCAAAGAATGACTGAGAAAAATAAAAATTGGCTGTATTTCTTGTTCTGCAGGAGCCAGCTCCTACCAGAAATTACACATCCCACCTCTCACTTTTCTAACTAGAAAATTGTAGGTGTTGTGAAGATTCATTGCCACCAGGGGGAACAGTAGCCAGAGTTTGCTTGCTTGGTTATTTATTTATTTATTTATGTCACCATCCAAATAACTTCTGTTTCTTGAGCATTTCATCAATCAGAGGTAATAGCTGTCCCGGAGAACACTGTCTTAACAAGCTCCTCTGGGAGGGAATTTAGAAATGATTGCCTGAGACTGAGAAGACTTAGATGAAACCTGGACGAGGTTTTGTAACTGAAGCTACCTATTCCACACTGTGGATGGATGTGAGTTGAATTGTCACTAGTGAAATGTTTCCCTCTCAAACACATTGAACCTCAAGGGAAGGATAGGTTTGAGGGACACTGTTCAGTGATCTAGGCCCCCAATCTAGCATTTAAGACCAGATCTTGGAGTTTTCCAAGGGCAAATGCATTATTAATTCAATGGCTTTAAGAGTCAGGAAAACTGTGGCTTTCATCCTTGCTCTACTCTAAATTACTGTTGAACAGAGTTTTCTTGCTGCCGTGAACAAGGTGGTCTGTTTTCCGGTTCTTGTCAGCTGGTCATTCCCCTTCTTCCTTATACACTTCCACACTACTATTGCAATCCTAGGAATAAGGTTGTGGATACAGGAAAAGCTGTGGACCACCTGAGTCCTTGATAATGCAGGCACTTGAACAAGTATTATGATATGGCCAGATATTGCCATGTTAACAAATATCTTGAACAACGGTCAATGGGATTTTGAGGCAGGGCAAATTAGCATGCAATGGGTCTCCCATCATCCTACTTTCCAAGTGGACTAACTTTTCTGCAGGGCAGGCCCTGGGGGAACATCATCACACAGTGAATGCCACACCAGCTGAAGCCTTGCTAAAACTGGTACCCTCTGTTTAGGTGTAAGAAAGAAAGCCACTAATTCAGGTTAATCTCCTCCCTTGGTAGCTCCCCATCCCATAAACTTGCCCTAACTCTTCAGTCACAGGGAGAAAAGGAGGGGAAAAGATCCTCCACCATAAATGTGAGGAGGCACATTAAGAAATCAGAGTGGAGAGGCAGAGGCACAGTTTTGGGCAGACAGAAGGAAGGATAATGTGGTGTGCAGCACAAAGTTAGCTTCAATATGACAGTAGCATTGGCACCATGTCATGTTTATACAACTAATTATCATATTTCAAATCTATCACCATATGCACGTTTAAGTCTTGTTACCAGCATTTAAGAAGTTACTGACCATCAGCTGAATCAAGATGATAAACCTTGCACATACACTTAAAGCATGGTCAAGGAGCATACGGATCTGGCCTGACCTGCTGAATGCTAGTAAGAGGTGTGTTGATCCAGCTGGAGTGATTTCTCCAACTGATCAAAATGCCTATATCTCTAGAATTTATTTGTTAATCACTAAGATGTTTTAAGGATAAGATGGATCCATGGCAATTGCTCTCTTGCAACTCCCAGTTAACGCAGGCTGGAAACCCCTTTGCTCTGTTTCAGACCTCAGTCAAACTCCAGGTCTCCTAAAATCTGTGAGGCAAGAGGGCAGTAGAGAAATAATAGTAGATACTAGTTTAAAAAATGATAGTTTCCTGGGAGCCTAGTCAGCCAGGACTCCTCTGTAGCTAGTTGAGAAGGATGAATGGGACGTGCTGTCCCTTGGAGACACCTTGAGCCTGAATCGTACTCTTGATGTACTTGTAAATGCACTGAGAAATGACATTAACAGGGAGACTGCCTGTGAATATAAAGCAGATACCCAGAGAGAAAGAATAGGAATGACTAGCTTGATAGAAGATTGAGGGTGTGGAAATGGATGCACAGAGAAGCATTTCAGTGATAGTTCTCTTCTTTTAATCTTTGCCTTTTTTCATCACATTTTCTTTCATTTCTATTCCTATATGTTGTTGCTAAGAGCAGAAAAGAAGTCATTACCATGGATGAAAGAAATCAAGACTTCCAGAGGTCCTGAAGTCTCATAAAGTAACACCAAACCCAGGAGGGGGCCACTACTTCTTCAAGACAGAGAATATATGACCTCCAATATGATGTGATGAAAACAGTCTCACTGCTGCAAAAAGTGGTTGAGTTGTATGCTCTACACTTCACTTTTTTTGCAACAACTTTTATGTGGCTGTGCAAGAAGGGTGCTTCATAATTTTGTCTACAATGCAGTTATGGAATACACATGAAAAAGATGATTCTTTGGAATTGTGATAAGTCAAACTTTTAAAAAATAAACTTCTTTTGTTTTTTTTTTTTTGGCATTAATTTCTTTAAAGTCAACTCAAGTGGCTAGGGATAATGCAGTTGGGAATTCACCCCACTTTCTCTACCATGTGCATCTTCCACCAAAGGCTGAGGTGAATCACCCACTGCAAATGCCTGTCTCTCTGCTAGGGAAAGTAGAGGTAAACTGACAAATTTAGACTGCTGTATAATTTTGACAGGGATTTGATTAGCTAACCCAAATTCCAATAAAAATGCAAGGGTTAATATTAAGAATGCTCGGTGTAGCTGGAAACCCCAGTATGCGAGGGCTGTTATAACAGTTGATTTTTATACTAAGGAAGGTGGGATTGCAACTCCACAGAAGTGCCAAGCAGTCACTGTCTTATATATCTGTTTAACATAAAGAAAATTCATTGCATTTGGGACCATTTCTCTGCCTTTCATTTGCTATTCTTCTCTGTTAGAGATATATTTGATGACTTTGCCACTGAAAGTGCTTCAAACTTCTTTGTGACGTTGGTCATAAAGGTGCAATTCCAAAGATCTGGATACTTTTCTTCATCTCAGATTTATACTATGAGTGATCTAAACCCAGCAACATCTACAGTCACCAGGAGAAAGGTTTTCGCTCCATGACTCTTCCCAAAGCATCCTTCACCTCCCTGTTCCTGAAGCTGTAAATGAGGGGGTTCAGCATGGGGATGACCACTGTGTAAAAGACAGAGGTGATTTTGTCTGTGTCCATAGAATATGGATGTCTGGGACGGCAATACATGAAAAGGATGGTCACATGGAATAGAGTGATAACTGTTAAATGGGAGGCACATGTAGAGAAGGCTTTGTATTTTCCTGCTTTAGAGTGGATCCTCAGCACAGCCAGGATAACGATGGTGTAAGAGGTGAGGATGATTATGATTGTGCTGGTTTCCACAAAGGTAGCAAAGCTGAGAAGCAGCACTTC